TTTTTTCGCTGCCTGGCAAGAGATAAGAACTTTATAGATCCGTTCAATCTCCCACACACACACACACACACACACATTACATTATCATCATCATCATCATCATCATATGGCTTCTGAATTTTTACATTTTCATGTTTCTTGTGGAAATCAACATCACCATCGATTGAAAGACAATCGTCTGGAAGAACAAGTAATGATTTGCCCTCAACAACCTAATCTTCAAAAAAAAAAATTGATCATTACAATTTCTTTCACATACAAACAACGATAGAATCTACCTACCGACTACAAACAACAAGAATAAAAATAATGTATCCAAAACAAAACAAAAAAAAAACAGTATTTATAATTCAATCATACAATTGTCTAGTCACGAATATTCTTGATATTTACCACCACACTTTATGTGTGTGTGTGTGTGTGGCTCCCGAAAAAAAAGATTCGTTTCAAGATCGTTCCAAAAAAAATAACAAAAAATCGTTTTTTTTATCTCGTATTTTCATTCTCATCAATTCAATTCATTCTTTTAAATGTAATGATCATGATGTGGATAATGATGGCAGCACTGTAGTAGTGTTCATTTGAATAATAATAATTTATATTATATATATTTGAAATGAAGAAAACAATTTTTCCATTTCACTTTTCTTTCTGTTTGTTGATGATATAATTATGATAAAAATAAAAGTTTTTCGCTTTGTTTTGTTTTTCAACCAACCATCCAACCAACCAACCACGCAAACCTAAACACAATATTCATTTCATGATGAAAAAGTAAAGAAAAAATTGTCCAAAACAACACACACACACACACACACACACACAGATCGTAATAATATTGATTACAGTTTTTGAAAATGAATGAAATAAATGAATTTCAGTGTAGTGTGTAAATTTGAATTTGTGTTAGTGTAGTGTTAGTTTGTGTGTGTGTGTATGTGCATAGAGATCTGAGATTCAATTAACCGAATCAAGTATGTCTCTCGGGTGTCTCTATGTATGTCTATTTGTTCTATTTTATATATGAATCTCACACGCATACAAAAATATTATGGACTGATCCAAAACACAGAATACCAAAAAAAAAAAAAAAGAAAAAAGAAAAAAATAGATGAACGAATTTCACTTGTTTCACATTCATTAATTTGAATTTATTTTGAATGTCCGGAATGTTTGGCGTATTGTTGTTTTTGTTGTTGTTGTTGTTGTTGTTGCTGAAATCACACGCAAACACATACACTCATATAATTCATTCATCACTAATTTGAAACAAAAAAAAAATTCCATGTTCCAAATGAGAAATTTAAAAAAAAAAAATGGAAGCGAATTCATTTTTAATTTAGGAAATGATAATGATCATCATGATTATGATGAAAATCCATGCTGTTAATGTTCATCATTGAGTGTTAATGAGAGTGGAGAAAGGGGTGAACCAAAAAGTTCAAGTTTTTTTTTGCAAATATAATTCTTACAAATTAAATATGTCACTCCATGACCTATGACCTATGATTGAGTATTTGTTGTGTCATGGCATGTCATGTCAGTGGAATTAAGAATTTATTTATTTTTTTTTGCATTTCTAATCTCTCATGCAACGAAATACGACGTACATTAATTCAAAACGGAACGTGGGGCTATTGAAATTCATAATTCTGTATTGAATTTTTTTTTAGATTTTTTTTCAAACCTTGAAATAAATGAGGCATGGTGCACCCAGTGTACACACATGGGAATAATGATTTTTGTCGATGACAACAGTTCATGTGTGGAATATATTTGTACGAGCGAAAAAAAACAGATGAAGATTCGTAGTGAAATCTTCATTCGTTTTTGCTAATTCAAATCTGTTTGTTTTTTCCATTCGATGCTGCGAAAATTCATTCGACAATCGACAAAACAACATTTTTTTGATTCATGGATGAAATTTATGGCCATTTGAATATTGGCTATGGCAGAGATAACAACAAACAAACAGACGAAGAAAAAGAGACAAATGAAAAAACATTTTTTCTTCATCATCATCAGTTTGGGATTTGATCGTAAATTTTTTTTCTTTTGTTTTTTTTCCAAATGAAATAAAGGAATTATTACCAGAAAAAAGTACTGCTACTGTCATCATCATCATAAACATATGACAAGCGCATTATAGCGCATAATAATCGTTAAAATCATAACGAATGAATAACAAACAAATAAACATACGGTGATCAGAATGGAGAGAAATTTTTTTTTTCATATGAAAAAATGTTTAAAAGAATTCTTTTTCTGTCCATTGTTCTTTATGTTTTTTGTTTTCAACTTTCACCTTAACACAAACACACACCTACCTTGACATTTGGGCAACGTCTTTTGTGAAATGTTTTCATGGCAGTGATGATGATGATGATGTTGATTGGTCAAACATCATTACACACATCTGACACCTACATTTATACATTCATGCAGTCATTTGAATTGAAAAGGCGAGGGCAATATATTTTTTTTTTTCATTTTCAACATGTATATAATTATAATATGATGATGGCGATGAAGAGAGAGACTACCCTCGTGTGTGTTTTCATCAAGAGTTGAATTTATGGTCATTTTTTTATGTTGAAAGAAAATTTCAAAATTTTTTTTTCACTTGAATTTTGATTTTCTTTTCTTTTTTTTTTGCGAAATATGTTACATAACACACATAATAATAATTCATTCATAGATTCCTTTATGGCTGGTTGTTACTAGTTACAGCAACATTTATGGATGATAATTGTATGGTTCGTGTATATTCGTCGGTCGGTCGTTTATATGATGATGATGATGATGATGATCGAGGGGCTATAACAATGGTTCGGAACACCAGTGCAAGCGAATGATTCCTGTTTTTTTTTGTTGTTGTTGTCCAATTGGGTGGTGTTGATGGTGATGATTGTATGTAGACACACACACACACACACACATGAACACAATGAACATGTTTTTTTTCGTGAGAAAAATCAAAAAATCAAAAAAAAAATTGTAAACAATGAGGCAAACAAATTTCAGTTGTAAACAACAGAGAAAAACATGAGCTAAAAAATTGTAAATCAAACAAATTGTCAATGTCGATGTCGATGATGATGATGACATGACCTCTTCAACCTTGCAATATTGGCTGTCATTATAATAATGGCCATTTATATTTTTGTTTGCGGTGTGTATACAGTGTATGTTTGTTGATGATGAATATGAATACTTGACCAATGAAAGTTTTTAAAAAAATGAAAAATTTTCATGTTTGTTTTCACCATATTTTGAATATAGGATTTATTTTTCCTGCTTTCTAAACCTGGAAACCAGAAAATAAAAATAAAAATGATGAACAATATTCATTGGAAAATGAAATTCTTGAACGCAATCATCATGGGAAAAATGAAAAAGAGAGAGAGAGAGAGAACCAGATGAAAAACTTTATTGAAACAAAAAAAAGTTATCATCATCATCATCATTTACACGCAGATTCTTTTTATCAACCTTCTTTTTTTCTTTTTCTACAGGATTCTGGTTTATGGATTAGACCCCTTAGGCTACTACTTTTGTCATACATTAAATGTTTTGATTTTCGATGATCATCATAAAGTTTTTATTTCATTTCTTCTTGTTTGAAGCATTTTTTTTTGCTGATGATATGACAGCAATCATCATTGAACGTTCCTGGAACGATTGATGATGATGATGATTGTTTCATCAATTTATTTTTCTAAACTTTTTTTTCATCATCTTAAAAATGAATAAAAATTCATTTTTCCCTTTTTCCATTGAATAAAATGATGATGATCATCGTCATCAGCAGGTATTGAAATTTTATTTTGTTTGAAATCCCTGAGTTGACAGAGAATATTTTTTCCACTATCATTTTTCAAGAGATTCTAGGATTGTTGTTTTTTTATTCTTTATTTGGTTGGCCAATTTTATTTCCGGATGTTGTTTAGTGTGGGTCCAGTAAGCCAAATATTTTCTGACGACATTTCACATTTCGGTAAAGATGGAAAAATAGCAACAACAACAACAACAACAACTGACTAAACTGGTGAGTTGTAGCATTGCGGCAATCATTCATTTCACAATTGTGTCGTTTTCGATTCTTTACTTTCATGAAAGTTTTATTTTCTTCTCGTACTGGCATGCCTGAGGACATAAAAAAAATCCAATAATTTTTCAACCAAAAAATGAAACACTGATGAAAACCGAATACATAATCTCCACTTTTTTCAAAAACCAGAAATGAAAATGAAAAAAATGGAGGTTTCATAAATCTAGGTAACATGAAAATAATATAAAGAAGAAACCGAAAGAAAAAAGTGAATACCGAAAACAACAACAACATTCCACAACACTGTGTGTGTGTGTGCATGTGTTCCCGAAAAAAAAATCCAAATCTTTCCTATACGAGTTCCGTTTTGAATGAAACGACAAATTGTAAAAAAAAATAAAAAATAAATGGAGAAAAATGATTTTCTCAATCCATTATTCCATTATAATGAATGTAAACAAAATCATCGATCAATTTCATGAAAAAAAAATTTTGAACACCGATCATGGCCTGACATCTAGTGTCGGTGATTTTAACTAATCGAAATGTGATTGAATTTAAAATTTTTCTTTTTTTTTTCTTCCAACAAACTCAAGCGAATAATACCAATTGAATCATTTATCTTGTAAAACTAAAATAATCTTTATTTACTTAGAAATTATATATCATTTCATATGTAATCAAGGTTGTCAATATTTTTTTTTCTTTTTTTTTTAATTATTGATTGTCATATGTAGACATGTGTAAGTGTGTGTGTGTGTGTGTGTGTGTGTGTGTGTCACTATTCTATTCTATAATGATATTAAAAACAAACAAAAGTGCAAATAATTCTAACAAATTCTAATCTAGAATATATTATCAAATTAATCTTTGGTTTTTTTTCAGATTTCTTAAATTTCTTCATTCATTTGTCGTTACTGTTCGATACTTTTTGATGTTTTATTTTTTTTTCGTTGTTAAAATTTTATCGAATCAAAATTGCTGCTCAAATCATTTTTACTGGATTTTCCACCACCACCACCACTAACTGGCATTGAAATTGGTGTCGCTGGTGGTGGTAAATCATTTGAATACATTGTATTTGCATCAAAGAAATTTGTTTCACTATAATAATCCGGCGGATTACCAGTATGATCCATTTGATTATCGCTAACCATAGACATGAATGCATCATTATTAGATTTTTCCATACTCATATACGTCTGTTCACGCATTTGTGTTGACATTTTTTTAGCCATACGCCGTACATGTATAAGTATAATGAATGAAGCCAAAAATAATATAGCGATACCGGCACCACCATAATATGTTAGATATTTATTATCAGTCAATTTATGTCCCCATAATACTGTATTCATATTACTCGATGATTGTGGTGGATAATAACGATAATAATAACGTCTATAGCCACGATAGTAACGTCCACCAGATGATGGTGATGGCAAACCAGTACGATATTTGGATGGCACACAATCCGGCTCCGGTTCAGTATAATTAGCAATTTTGCCAACTTTAATCCATTCACCTGATTTACCACAACGATATATAGTGAATGGCATTACATTATGTGTCACCATTATACAACGTAATGTTGCCATTGATGAATCGGCAATAGCACGATTCAGATTATCTAATTTTGAATATTCAAATAAAAATTTTGTTGGATCAGGCATTGGTGGTGGATTACGGCACCAATATTTCGGTACACAAAGTACATCATTGAAATCTGGTGTCCATTTATGTGTACGGCGATCGCAAGTTCGTTCCATTGTTACATCATTACTACTGATATTATTTCCATTCAATGAATCAATTTCCTCATTATTCAATTGATTATTGCCATTATCAGCGTAGTATTGTAGCTGATAATCATTATTATTAACATTATGATCAACATTTAACCCGATTTTCAATTCATTTTTCATATTTGCAATACGATAACCTTGAATGCATGAATATTGGGCCACTAGATTAGTATTTGAACGTTCAATTTGTGTAACAAGACCGTAAATAGGAATCAATGGTTGTCCACATTGTTCATCTGCAATGGAAAATGCTTGAAATCCACAAATTTTAATCGATTCAATCAAACTTTTTGCAGAACCATGAATTGGTTCAATATTAATATGGATATTGAATGAATTATCGACATCAACAACATCATTATTGCCATAGTTGATTGGACAATCAAACATGAGAAATTCGGTTGTCACATTAACCAAATGATTGCCGATAATGATGTTATCATTAAAATAACAATCCTTATGATCTTTGATCTTATCCATCGTTGTTGACATCTGTATCGATAATGCTAATCGAGCAAATTTTGTGACAAGAATTTTTTCCTTTTCATTCCAACGATGATTTTTTAATCGTTGTTGTTGTTGTTGTTTATTATCATCATCATCTTTATTATATTGATAATAATTTTGTGAATTTCTCAATGAATCATTCAAATCGTGTTGATTATTCCAACGAACAAAATCAATAAATTGTTGTTTATGTTGTTCTTCAATTTCAATGCCATGATCTTCACTATTCATATGATGATTGGATTGTGAATCATTATTTTGTTGTTGTTGTTGTTGATAATCAATATTGTTAATTGAATCATGGCGTATAATCAATATGATTCTTGGTACGAAACGTCTATGACGGTTTTGTTCAATAAATTTTACTTGAAATTCAATCAATTCATTCGGATGTGTATTATTCGCATTCAATTCTATACACGTTGGTGGATTTTTCGTTTCATTTCCAATGATTGAATGTGGATTGAGCATAAAATTTATTGGTTCATCAACCGATTGGCTATTATCAGCTGACCTATTATTATGATGATAATGTCTGGTAACATTGAATTTATTTGGATCCATTGTTTCCATACAGAATAATTTACTTGTATTCCAACGATTATACAGGCATTGTATTAATACATGTGAATCAAACGACATCAACGATGGTGATGATTTTTTGTCATTTTGAGTCATAATATTTGATTTACGTTCATATCCAATCGGTCCTTTTTGACAGATAACTTTCATTAATTGTTTTTCTTCAAAATAATTCCAATTATCAAAAACATCATCCTCTTCATTATTTTCATTCAATAATTGTTGTTGATGTTTTTTAGCTATTTGAACATTATCATAATGTTGTTGTTGTGGTTGTTGTTCAGAATTTATTTCAATTAAACGTGCCTGATATGGTAATTCAGGATAACCACAACGTGCATCAACAACAATTATGGCCAAATTAATGGATGAAAAAATGGCCAAGAATGTTAACCAAAACATCTATAGTTCAATAATGGAATTGAATGGATGAGGAATGAAAAGAAATAATCAAAAACAAAAATCCCTCACCTTTAAACAATTAAAACAGTGGTTGGTGAAAATTTCCAAGATCGAACCAGAATTTGAATTGAATAGAATCGAATCAACTTGGAATACTGAAAATTTGCGATTGAATGAAACATAAAAGTAGAAAAAAAAGAGAAAAAGAGTGAGTGAATGAGAGAGAGAGAAAAAAAACAAATTTTGAATTTTCATTTTCTCAAAACCACATACATACACACACACACACACACAAAAAAAAAAATCAATACTGTACCATTACCATTGTCATATAAGAAAGAGAAAAAAATGGTTTGAATATTGATTTCATTGATTCACATTTGTCATGTGTGTGTGTGTGTGGTAACCAAAAGAAAAAACGTTGTTTTCTTTCATCTTTGTTTTACAGCAACAACCAAATATAGTCGAGAATGAAAAAAAACCACCACTGCCAAGAAAAAACGAAAAACCGGTCAATCTTCAGTATATGATTATGGATTTTTTCATTTCATTTTTTTTTTTTTTGCTATGGCCATGGATACCATGGAGTCGAAAGAAAACGGCAATTTAAATCTTTCCTTTTCACATTTGTTTCGGTTATTATTGCCAAAAATAGTGTACATTTTTCCAGGTTTTATTTGTTTGTTTCTCCAAAATTTTTATATTTTCTCGTCACATAATCATTATTAGCATTATTATTTGCCATATACCCATATAGAGTAGTTTTATATACCTTTGAAAAAATCGAATTTTTCTTCTTGCGAACTGAATATATGGTTGTGTTTCTTGTTGTCGATGGAAAATGAAATTTTTTTTTGAATAATTTTCGAAATGTAAAAGTTTCGATTTTTTTTCTTTGCGTTTCATCATACAACTACTTTCAATCACCATTATCATCATCATGGAGACGAAAAGTTTCCTTTCTTCTTTTTATTCGAAAAATAAGAAAAAAAAAATATTCATCGAATCATTAAAAACCGGTTAAAAAATCGATCGATTCTTTGCCATATTTGAAGGCTATATATAATGTTAAAAAAAATGATCATATGATGAATCAATGAAGGGAAAATTAAAGTTCATCAAATAGAATTTCTTTCTGATTATATCATCTTACAATCAGAAAAAAAAATTATAGAAAAGTTTTATCCTGTTTTAATCTATTGAAATTTCAATTTCGATGAATTACAACTGTCAAAAACACACACAAATACACCATTGTGATTCTCAAATAAGTTGTTTTCGTTATTTTCTCATTTCTTGATTCACACCCAACAGGTCTTTGCATGTAGCAAACGAAACTCATAAACGCGTTTGCCAAAATTTTCCATCTTTATTTCTCCTAAGAATTCAATAGATGGCATCATACAATGAGTAGAATGATCATAGTAGCAGCTGCGAGTTGTTTATGATGAAAACGAGAAAGTTTTTTTAGTTGAAAATAATTTTTTTTTTCAATCGAATCATATCGATTAAAATATCTCGAAAAGATCTGAATCAATTGATTATTAAATTTTTAAACTTTTTATTATCATCATGATCATGATTATATATTAAAAGTGAAAATGAAAAAAAAAACAGAAAAAAGACAAAATGAAAAAATATAAAAAATTCAATTCGGTGGTCAATCGATCGATTTGGTTGATCAATCAATCAATCAATCAATACTGTATGATGATGATGATGCTAATGATAAATCAATATTTGATGATGGATAATGTTCGTCGTATTGACCCGATTCATTTGAATCATTATCATCATCATCAATCGATTCAATTTTAGCCATACGATTATTATGACGATCATTATGATGATGATGATATAGAATGACAATATCATCATCATCAGTAAGTCTATATTCTTCATCCAAATCATGATTGTAATAATCATCTTCATAATTATCATAATGATTATTGTCTTCTTCTTTTGTGGTGAATTTGACTAGAATTCAAAAAAAAATTGATTGAATTTTGAAGCGAATTCCCGATTAGAAAGCATATAAAACAAGATTGGAAAGAGAAAATATAGGAAAAGAAAAGAGAAAGAGATAAAATTATTTCATTAATAATTATTAGTAACAAAAGAATGTTGTAGGAAAAAAGGAATTAGAGAGAATTTTGTAGGGAATTTGAAAGAAAAATTTCCATATCCTAATGATTGCGGGTGCGGGTGTTAGTGGCAGGTTTATGGCAAACAAATCGATCAATAGCTTTGATTGATTTGAATGATTGAGCGAATTGAGCAAATTAATCAATTTCAAAGTGATGAAAGATATGTACAGGATAAACGTGATTGTGATTTTCTCAATGTTGATGATGATGTACATTTTGGATTCTGGATCATTGTTTGTGGTAGTTGATTATGTTGATGATCATTCATTAATTCTGGTTGTGATTTATTATAATTATTCATAGATAATGATATCAGATTTGAACTAGATTTTATTCTTCGTTGTTGTTGTTGTTGTTTTTGCGGTTTTTTATCAGTCGACGACGGTGGAGATTTCATTTTCAATTTATCATCATTATTTTGGTTTCGATTTTGATTCAAAAACATCAATCGTCCACCATCATTATTAATATCGAAAGTAGAATTATTACGACAATTATTTGAACGAAAACGTAACAATTGATTGGTTAAAATCGTTGATAATGAAAATGAACGTGATAATAATTGTATCGATGATATTGATGATGATGTTGATGACGATGATGTTGTTGTCGTTGCTGTTGCTTTTGTTGTCGTCGGTGGTGGTGGTGGTGGTGCTGGATAATTTTTCATCTGATAATTTCGATGACGATTATAACGACGATGATTATTAATCGAATTTGAGGATTGATTTCGAATTTCTTCTTGTTCGGTTTGATGAACAATTTTATTTTCCTGATTAGTGTCTACTTTTCCATTAATTACAATTAATGAATTTATCGATTTTGATGACTGATTACAGGAATCAATATTATTCGATACGATTGTCATCGATGATGATGAAGATGTTGATGTTGATGTCGATGATGATGATGATGATGACATTGTCTTTGGTTTCGGTTCTTGTTGCCGATTTGTTGTCATAATAATTGTAGAATTTATAGACTTGGGAATTTCAGATTCTTTTTCGGGTTTATTATCATCATTGGGTAATAATGTCTCATCAACATTATTATATTGATTGGACAATAATTGTATGGTTTTCGTTTCGGATAACTCACCGGCCTTCACTATTGTAGCACGAACAATTTGTTTCTCAATTGGTTTATTGAATGATTGATGTTTCGAATGTTGATGCTGTTGCTGTTGTTGTTGTTGTTGAAATTGATGTTGTGGATGATGTGGTGGTAAGATCGATGTTATTAATGTTGGGTCAGATTTTGATTGATTCATTAACGCCATAGAACCAGTAGTAGTGGTTTCATTCGTATCACCATTATGGATTGTGGTCGAACCACCGTCACCATTGTCATTCTCATCATCATTATGATCAATACCGGGATCTGGATAAAATACAATTGTTGGAACGCTAAATATTGATGCCTGATCCGATATCTGATAGATTAATGGATCTAATGTTGAAAAGTAACGATGATGCATTGCACGATTTGCTTCAATCCTTTTATGCGGATCATACTGTGTATGAGAATGGAACAAAAAAAAATGTTTAGAAAATGGAAAATGATTGAATCACTATCATACCATCAATAGATTAAACAAAAGATCTTGAGCAGGTTGATTTAAACGTTTAGCACGTCTACTTATACCCCATGGTATTGTAATTAGATTTTGTGGTTCATTTCCATAAATTTGATCAATCAGATTTAATTGTTCTTGTTCAAACATTCCGCGAAATAATGGTTCACCACTTAATAGTTCGAAAAATATACAACCAGCACCCCAAATATCGATGGATGTTGTATAATGCGTTGAACCATGTAATACATCTGGTGGACGATACCATAATGTGACCACTTCACTTGATAATGTATTTGATGGTACTATAGGAAAGAAATTTTCAAAGATTAATTGAAAAATTGAAAAAAAAACAAACAAAAATCCAAACCAGATTTTGAACGTGCAAGACCAAAATCAGCCAATTTCAATTCACCACGATCTGAAATAAGTAGATTCTGTGGTTTAATATCACGATGTAATATACGTCGTTGATGGCAATAATCAAGGCCACGCAATAGTTGAAACATGAATAATTTAACATTATGTAAATGTATCAGATCACGACATTCGGTTATATAACGATTTAGATCACGTGGCTGAATATATGGAAAGAGAAAAAACAATCATGAGATTTGATGGAGTAAATAAATGTTTGAACAAAACAAACCATGTATTCAAATACAAGTATAAGCATCTTATCTGAATAGATAATATCATGTAATGTAACAATATTGTTATGTTTCAATGTACGTAATAATGAAACTGGAATAAAGAATAAAAAAAATTAATTGATTAATTGATTGATTGATTGATTGATTGATCGAAATGATGATCAGTCTCACCTTCACGGATGGCTGTACAAGGTGTACCTTCTTGTTGTTGAAAACGTATATCTTTCAATGCCACTAAACGATTGGTTAGATGACTACGTCCTTTATAAACTGTTGCATAGGTTCCTTCACCCAGTTTCTCCAATTTTGTATACGTTTCCAATCTTCCGAATCCAATTTCATTCTATTGATTAATTGATTAACAGAGAAATCCAAGAAAAAAAATTAATCAATATCATTGTAAAAAATCATTCAGAAAAAATTTACCAATGATTCACGCCGTACTCTACGACTGATTGTTTTATTTGGATCCGTGCTCAATAATGTTGCAAGAAAATCATTATCACTAGCATCAGCGTCATTATCACCATTGATAATATCATTTTGTGAATTTTCAAATCTTTTTTGCTGTTGTAATGATGGTTGTCTATCTATTCGACGTTCAATTTTGGCTAAAAATGATTCCGGCAAATGTAGATCAGCTGGTAATGATAAACGTTTTGAAATCAAATCAACAACAGTCATTGATTTGTCTTGTTGTTGTTGTTGTCGTTGTCGTCGTAGTCGGATATTATTGTTACTATCGGTTATTCTTTTTATCATCATCATAACAATCATTATCATTATCATCATTTTTTGAATGAATTGTAAAAGAATTTCTTAGATTCATTGAATGTCGTTTTTGTGATTGTTGTTGTTGTTGTTGTTTCTTTGTCTGTCTTCGTATAACACCACGTGATAAGGAAGTATATGATGAATTATTATTTGTTTGAAAATTATTCATATTTTCACCAACAATGTTATCATTATCATCGTTGTTGATAACATCTTTAAGGTCAACATCATCATTATCATTATGGACATTATATTGATGATGATTCAAAGAAGGTGATTGGTGATAATGTGAAGAATTTTGATTCTTTGTTGCTGTTGTTGTTATTGATTCAGATTTTGGTCTTGCAATATTATTAGATGCTGATGATGTGGATGTGGATGTAGATGATTCATCATAATGAATTGATGATTGTGAAGATTTTTTCAATCGTGATACAAATAATGATGAAAATGATATCGATGCTGATGGCCTAATTCGATTATTATTTGCATTTACATTTACATTTGTTGTGTTATTCGATTGTTTGATTGATGTAACCGGATTTGATTGTTGCCGTTGTAATGAAATGTGTTTTATTCTATTTTTTCGTTGACATTCATCATCATTATTTCTTTGAAAATTTCGATAATGATCATGATGATGGAATTCATTCAAATGATCATCATCATGATCATTATTGAGATGATAATTACTTTTCGATTTAATCGATGATTTAACATTACGACAACAATAATGATGTTGATGTTTTTTGGCACATTTATTACAATTATTATTGTTTACTATACGATTATGATTAGAATCATGAATGAGATTATGATGATTACCACCACCAATACGATCACCAAGACTAGATCTTATTATATTTTGATGAAATGTAGTAGATGTCGATGATAATGAATGTTGATAATTAGCTGATGGTGTACCTGGGTGTTGTTGTTGATGATGATGATGATTATCCATTATAGATTGATGATTAGTATTGGCACCACCACCACCAGTACCTGTGAGATGATTATGAAAAAATTTCGTACAAACAGAAAATGTTTTTGAACGTTTTATTGATGATGGGTTTTTCTTTGATGATTTTCTAGTAGTAGGAACCATTTGGTAATTATCATTATCACATTTCATATCAATAGATGTTATCGGTGGTTTTTGTCGTCGAAACAATGATGATAATTTTTGTCGCACCAAATTCATTGTTACATTATGATGATGATGGCTAAATGGTTGATCATCATCATTATTATTTGATGATGATGATAATTGTTTTAATTCATATTCATCATGATAATCATCCTCGTCATCATCATCATCATCATCATTAATATCGGAAATCATTTCATCTAGATTAGTTTCTTCAAACATTTTTTGTTCCATCGTCGATGACATTATTAACATGGATTTTGGGCGATTTTTTTGTTTTTTATGATGGTCGTGATAATGATTATGATCAATTTTATTTGGAATATCACAATTTGGGTTCTCATATATAATATTTCTCATATTGGATCTATCATCATCTATAGCAGCAATATTTGTCGATGATTTTGAATGATGATTACAATTATTTCTAACCTTTAATGATTGATGTAACCAATTAGATAAACTAAGATCAATTTTCTTATCATTTGAATTTAATTTAACACTTTGTTGTTGTCGTTGTTGATGATTTAAAATTTTTTTATTATTAATTGATGGCGATGATGAGTCATTTAATGAAGATAATGATGATGTTGATGATAATGACGATGTTGAAGATCGAGACGATGATCGTCGATTATTTTTTTGATAATGAAGGTTACCATTCGATTGTTGATGTTGTTGTGACCATTTTTATCATCATCATTTTTTATTGAACCATCATTATCAATACGGTTTGAATGGCCAACATCAATTGGATAAATCGATACAATCGATTTTGTTATAGGTATCAAATTTGAATTTGATCGACTATTATTATTTGACTTTTGATTATCATGATGGTGATGATGGTGATTATAGTGATTGGGTATTGTTGACAAATCATTATTATGATTATGGATCGACGATCCATTCATTGTTGATGTTGTTGCTGTTGTCATTGTGTTTTGTTCAGAATAAAAGATCACAAAATTTCAACATTATCAATTAACGTTTTCTGTGCGTTTTTCTTTTGCTTTCATCAAAAATTATCATCTTATGCATCTTTGGCACTGGAAGAAACAAACAAACAAACAATGAAAATGGCTACATGTGATTTTTTTTTTTGAATCGGTGCTATTTACATCAAGATCACAATAGATTCTGGTGTTTGGATTTTATTCAATTTTTTTTTCATCTTTTTTTCCTTCCATTTGCTTGCTGGCTACTCTGAAAATGATCTGATCTGAAATGAAATGATGAAATGAAAGATGAGAAAGAAAATGCTGCCAAACATGTTTCTGATCCATTCAATTCAATTCAATTCAATTCAATTCGCGCACCACACACACACGCACCACAAATGGTTAACAATCACGTCATCATCAGCATCATCATCAATGTTAAGAAAGTTGAAAAGCAAAAAATTTGTTCGATGACTACGGCAAAAAAAACACGAGGAAAACAAACGCACAGACAGACAAGTTGAAATCATTTGAAAAAAAGTTGTTATGCCTCCACCATCGCCAACACAAACACCACTACTACTACTACTACGATTATTAGAGATAGAAAGAGAGAGAGAGATGATAAGATTTGATTTGAAATTCTAGAAAAAATTTTTTCAACTTAAATCAATCGATCAATCGATCAATTGATGGGTAGGTGGATGGATGTAATCAATTCAATGATGATGATTCATTTAGTATGTTTGTCTTGTTTATCATGACATTTTTTTCCATAGGATGGATGGATGAATAATAGTAATTTCATTATTTATAACAGAAGTCAATTTTTTATAAAATTGGGCATTAACAGTGTTAATATTGATGATGATGATGATAATGATAATGGTTGTTGTGGTGGTTATGGATAGTTGGTAGTTGATGTGATGGTAGTATACAGCAGAGATGTAAGAGCCAAAACACTTGTGGAGAAATGAAAAACTTGCATAACAACTTTGCATCTTCTTTCTTTCATCAAATTTCAATGTCTATTAGACGATGAGTCATCCACGCAATGTGTTTTGTATAATTTCGTTCTGAAAGAGATGAATAATAATGTAATTTGAACACGTGGTTTTGTTGATAAAGTTTTTAATTTAAAAACGATCGATCAATTTTTCCGAAAAAATCTTGTAGTTTCAATAGGATTTCCAAAATAAAAAATTAAGTCATTATAACCGAATAGAACAGATTATTTTCACATCAAACAATAATGATGATGATGATGGTGACTAGAATATTATGATGATGGTGGTGAGGAAGGATGAAAAACAAATATTCACACACAAACACACCAAAATTTCATTCAAATAAAAATTGATTTCCTGTGTGCGTTTGTTTCCTTTCAAGGAAAAACAAAAAAAAAACGCTAAGACTTTGACACAACAAAAGAGACAAAATTTCAAGGTAATTCATATCAATTGTTGCTGTTGTTGATTTTTGTTTTGTTGACATTCATCATTATTATTCCAGATAATTGCTTGCCGGGCGCGTACATTGTTTTAAAAGAGATTGATGCGTGTGTGTGTGTGTGTATGTATGAGTGGACAATTTTCATTCAATCAATTCATAAACTGAATGAATGAATGAATGAATGACCAATTGATGAATTGATGACTTTCTTGATGATGATGTCAATGTCATTGTGTGACAAATTATGATGATGATTGTTCGTGATCAATTTATTGTGATGGTGGTGGTCATTTTTCGCTAAAAAGAAAATAAATGACAATAAAACGTTTTTTTTTTACTGTGGTTAAATTAAAATGAAATAAATTCTTCCTTCTTTTTGATTACTTGTTGAATGAAAATTAAATGATTTGTTAATATACGTGACTTACTATCGTGAAATTCAAGAGAATTTGGAGGTAATTTTTTTCACCACAACCACTAAAATCATAAAAATACATAAAAATGAGTAATGCCAATTATTGTTGGCACAAAATGGTGCAAAATATGTACAGCAATTTTTTTTTCTTGGTGTTGATTGATTGGCGTTTTTCTTCTCTTTCTCTCTCTCTCTCTCTCTCTCTCTCTCTCCAGTTTTGCTTGCACCGGAAAAACCATGATGATTGTGAATTCAATAAATGCTCTCTATGAACTTTTTTGCTGATGTTTGATTCTCAAAAAAAAATTTAAACATTACCATTTCCGGGCATTCTTATGGCAATCATTGGCATTCGGTAATCAATCATTTTGAAAAAAAAAATTTCTGTAAAATCAGCAAAACAACATTGAATAATAAATTATCAAAATGCAACACACACACACACATTCCAGACTAAATAATCGTTATTTTTTCTCACTTCTTTTTTTCGTTACCGATTGTCGTCAATCATAATCATCATCATAAAAGATATCAAGGTTTCCATGACAATATCCGTTATAGACATAGACATAGAAGAAAAAAATCCGGAAAAAACCAATAAAAAAAAAAAAAAAAAAATATCAATGTCCCGACCACACAATGAATGAATGGATGGCAAAAGTTTTACAATGAATTTATATATAGAATAGAATGGAAACTGTGTGATTAGAACAACCAAAAAAAAAAAAAAAAATTTCCCTCTATCTACAAATAAAAACGATTACCGGAAATCCTTATCAATAAAAAACGATTAAGAGATCATGATCATATTTTTCATTGACAAAGTAGAATTGTGAATGAGGATAACTGATCATCATTTTGACTGATGTCAATGATGGTGATTACATTCATTCATTCAATCAATCAATGATCACATTTTTCTGTGAGATCGAGTTTTTTTTGTTTCGTTTTGTTTTGCATTTACAAATTATCAAATCAAATTACGCGAAAAACTGAGGAGAAAAAAAATACAAATTACAAATCATCAAAAACAATCACAGCATAGCAAAGCCAAAATGATGATGATAAAGTAGCAGAAGCAAAACAGTGAAAAAAAACTTTGAAACTATAATTAGGATGCTAATCATCGCACATAATAACAGTAATGACAAAAAAAAAATTTTGATTTCATAATTAGAAAAACAATGAACAAAAAAAAAAAAAAAAAAACTGGAAAAAAATCATCATCATCATGTGGTGTCGTTGTTGTTGTTCACATGTGAAATAATAATAATCACAAATTGTAATGATCATCAAGTGAAAAATTTGGCCGATACAAACAAAAGGCTTATAATAATGTTTTTTTTAGTATTGTTTTGTAATTAAAAACTGTTCGACCAAACTAAAAACTAGATTAAAATACAGAAAAATATTCTGGATTTTTTCATTCACAAATCCGTGTGTGTTTGTGTTTCTATTTTTTTTTTATCTAGAAAATAAACAATTTTTTTTTCAATGGAAAGGATTATCCATCCATCCATCAATGTAGAATTTCCATTCAATGTAATAGAAATGAAAATAAAAGAGAGAGAGACAGAGAAAAACTGAAAAGATTATCATCAACATTGTTTATGTTGGTCGACTGACTGACTGACTGGTTGTTTGTTTGTTTGTTTGATTGGTTGGTTGGTTGGTTGGTTGTTGTTGTTGTTACTGTTTTTGTTTTTGTTCATGGCATCCAATTATTTTTTTTTTTTCATTTCGGATTTTATTTTTTCATTTTTTTTTATTTCCAAAAATGCCTATGGACATAATAATCATCTGCAATGTTGTGTGTGTGTGTGTGTGTGTGTGTATGTGTTTGGTTGAGTGAGTGAGTAAGTGACAAAAATAATTGAGAATCAAGAATCAGGCAATGTGAAAAGAAAAAAAAAGTTTTTTTTTCGTAAAATTTAATGGAATTCATTTTCCAAATTGTGTCCATCAGCATCCGAAAAAAAATCACTTCGAATTTTTTTCAAAAAAAAAAAATTGCTGAAATCTGTGATGAAAGTGAGATTGAGGGGAAA